TCCCTTTTTGGACTGAACTCTTTTTCTCATGCTTCTTAGCCACGGTCTCCTCCAAATTTTCTTCCCTCAGACTAATCTTCATTTTCTTCTTCCTGATCACATGTTTTCTTTTTTCTTTTCTCTTCTGCTCTTCCCCCTCCTCTGTCAGGCTTTCCTCTTCTATTTTCTTCTCACCGAAGCTTTTATATAAGTCCTCAAGGAGAATATTTCCAATATTCTCTAATAGCCATTTCACCTGAGTATGTTCTGGTTTATTCTCCTCAATTCTAGTCACAAGCTCCTCTAGCTGCTGTTTTTCTAACAGATTTTGTTCCTGGATCTCCTTTAACATAGTCTTTACCTGGATTTCATTGAATTGTATCTTCTCCTGGGCCTTTTCTAACAGCCATTGGTCCTCCTTCGAACTCTCATCAGTCAGTATTCTCTCCTTGGTTACTGTTCTAACATCTTCTAGTTTCTCTTTTTGAGTCTCTTCCTTCTCTTTCTCAGTTATTTCTCTTTCTTCTGAAGGTATTGTACTTGTTTCTCTAATTATGTCAGCCATAAGTCTCAGCAGTTGACCCTCTTTGGCCCTTACCTTTTCTTCCTTAGAACTGGGCTCTTTCTCTTCAAAACTAATTTTCTTTTCCATATCCAGTTTCTTCATTGCCTGTATTCTTTCCTTTTTGGTCATTTTCTCAGTAATGTCACTCTCTTTAGTTCCAATGTCATGGGCCAGTTTCCTCTCTTCTTGAGGCAATTTATCCTCTTCTTTCATAATTTCTCTCTTTTCTTCAGTTTTTCTTTTCTTTCTCTTAGTTTTGCCAGTTATTTCTCTAGCTATTGCCTTTTCTTTCTTGGCAACATGCCTCTCCTTTTTGGCAAGTTTTCTCTCTTTTGGAGTCCTTCTCTTTTTCACCACCCTTTTCTCTTTTTCCTCGGCCTCTTCCTCTTTCTCTAGGAGTTCTTTTTCCATGTCATCAGCCTGTTCCTCCTCTTCTTGTGACAATTTCTCTTTTTCCCAAGCCCGTTTTTTTAGTTTAACTTCCTTTTCCTCTTTCTCATATGATATCTCCTCTTTCTTAGCGCGTTTTTTTTTCAAGGCCTGTTTCTTTTCCCTTTTGGACAACATTTTCTCAATTTCCTCCATCATTTTTTCTTCTGAGACTATTATTTTTTCCCTAGGCCGTAGTTTTGTTTTCTCAACCTCTTCCTCCACTTTTTGAACCAGTTTTTCCTCTTTCTGCTCATGTCTCTTTTCATCTTGGGTCTGTTTATCTTCTTCCTGTGACCATCTGTCCATTTCCCCAGGCTGTTCCTCCTTTTCTAGTTCCACTTTCTCTTCTTCCCAGGGTTGTTGTTTCTTTTTCTCTTCTTTTTGTGCTCTTCTCTTTTTCCAAGCTTTTCTTGCTTCTTTCCAGGCCCGTTTATCTTGTTTGGACAATCTCTCCATTTCCTCAAATTTTTCATCTTCTTCTAGGTCCAGCTTCTTTCTTTCCTGAACTAACTGTTTATTCTCCTCTGTGTCTTCCTTCTCTTTCTGCGCCTGCCTCTCTTTCTGGTCTTGTTCTTCCTGTTCATCTTGTTCTTGTTTTTCCTGTTCATCCTGTTCCCCAACTTGTTTTTCCTTTCTTTGGATTTGTTTCTTTTGGGGAGCCTTTTTTCCCTCTTGTTCTGCCAAGCTCTCCCTTTCTGATATCTGTATCCATTCTTCTTCAGACAGTCCTTCCTCTTCACTAGACAAATGGTCCTGGGCCGATTTCCCCAGCTCCCAGGCCTCTTCCTCCTCTTCTTCAACATCTTTCTCCCTTTCCTGTGTGAGTTCTTCTTCTTCTCCAACATGTTCTTCTATGTCCAGGATTAGTTCTTCCTCTTCCCAAGTCAGTTCCTCTTCTTCCCCACCCAGTGCCTCCTCTTCCTCACCAAAATCCTCCTCTTCTTCACCAAAATCCTCCTCTTTCTGGCCCAATTTTCTCTCTTTCCAGATCAGCAGCCCCTCTTTCATAGTCCCTATGCCTTCTTCGTGGGCCTGCATGATCTTTTCCCAGTCCTCCTGTCTCCTTGGTAGGATTGGTTTCCCCTCTTTCCAGAGCACTTTCTTTCTTTTCCCTAGTAGTTCCCCCTCCTTTCCAGTCATTCGCTTTTCTTCTAGAACTAACTTCTCTTCTTCTGTGGTTAATTTCTCTTGTGGGGAAGCAAGTATTTCTTCTTCCCAAGCTATTTTTTCCTTTGAAAGAGTTGGCTTCTTCTTATGCTTGGTTGGTTTCTCCATTCTCTGTGTTAATTTTTTCTCTAGCCTTGTCCTTTTCCTTTCTTCCTTAGCTATTTTCCCTTGTTGCTTAGCCAGTTTTCTTACTTTCTTTTGAAATTTCTTTCTCTTGAAGGCAATTTTCTTCTTTTTGACTTGAGAAAATTTCTCTTTCTTTAACACTTTTTTATCCCCATATTGTTTTGCTACTACTATTCTTTCATCCTTGACAGCCCCTTTAACCACGTTTTCTGTCATGATGGAAGGTTCTTCTATTTTTTTGTCATCCAATTTTAATGACAATGGACTCAAGTCCCTTAAAAGAGGGCAGATCTCTTGGAAGAGATTCCAGCTGGGCTGTCGATCAGCAAGCATCACCCGAGCCAGGTCCACCAATTCTTTACCCAAATCCCTTAACATTCCTGGATGGGAACTTGCTATCCTAGAGGTGACAAGAGAGTAAATATCATCCCGCCAAGACCTGGTATCTGATGGACCTTTTCGTCCAGGGGTTCCAGACAAACCACGGCTTTTCTTTGCACGTTTCTTGCTTTTCTCTTCTGTCTTAGAAACCTCTGTGACTTCTTTCTTGGGCTCTTGTGTAGGTGCTTCTGAAACATCTTTCAAATCACTTCTCTCTTTGCTTTTCTCACTTGCTATTTTTTGGCTTTGTTTCATTGACCTTTTCCGAACCTTTTTTGCATGTTCTTGTTTTTTCACCGTAGGGATATCTTCTCTATCGTCTTTTATGTCATGCTGAACTATGGCCTCTATAGCCTCCAACAGGACTTCTTTTGTTTCAGCATCATCCTCAGATTTGACTGGACTGAAAGTATCTAGTATCAGCTCTGGCTCTAAGACAATATCCTGGATGTCAATTTGCTCTGATGTCCTTGCTCCTCTTTGTTCTTCTTTACCCTCGAAAGGCATTAACACAGAGCTAACCTTTCTCAATTCTGTCCTTCTCTGCCCCCTTGCAATAATCAGGTTCTTTTTAACTGCAGAGATATTGGGAGAAAAATAGTTAAGAAAATCATAGAGGTCATACATGAGACTCTTTGTAATATCTACTTCAGTGAATTGTAATAAAAGCTACAAAGGCAAATGTGATTGATACTTTTGACACACAAAGGCTCTCTGTTTTATCCCAGCTTCTCTAAGACCTTTTACTTTCTGTGAATAGGATCTTTCCATTAACTCTGTTCCCATTGGTGTCCTTTTATATACCTTGGCCTAATTAGCCCTGCTTTTTGGACCCATGGTGTGGGGGGATCCAAAACCCCAAATATGCCCCATACATTATCCCATACGTACTAAGCTTTCTGCTCTTCATGTGAACACGTCTCTTTCTTTTCTTCAGTTCGGTGATCTTTTCAGGTTCTGACAAAGGTATGAGTGTGTGTTCAGTAAGGGCCTCAAGTTCACCAGGCCTTGATATACCAAAAGACAATTTAAGTGCTTTTTCTTTAAAGAACAACGTCAGGTTTTCATTTAGCCGCTGCGCCACATGACTAAGCAGGCTCTGGACATCGCTAGCTTGAATCCCCAGCAACTGGCCCAGGGGGACATCCCCGATCATTTCCTGCCTACAAAAGTCAAGAGAAAATAAAGATAATACTGAGCTGGTAATAAAACAAAATTCAATGAAAAGAAAAAGAAGGTGTTACAATGAAGACGTGGGGATAAAATGACTAGAACAGAATAGATCGAAGTGTTAAGGTTTGATAAAGAAAGAATGAAGGATAGATAGCAAGTAACAGGGTAGTCATTGCTTCTTTGTCTGGAGGATGTGTGGACTTGAGACTTGAGGAATGTTCAGGAAGTGAGGAGATGATAGAAACATTGGCTAGTGAATGGCCAGAAGAAAAAGAGTAAGTGCCAGGAGAAAAGAGCAAGTAGAAACAAAGAAGAAAAGGAGGAAAATAATAGAAAAAGGGTTGTGGAAGAAGGGAAGAAATGATCAGATAGATTCTGGAGGCTACAAGCTAGAAAAAAACAGAAGAGGGAAAAGTTGCCATCTAACTTACTGCATTTCCTGGAAAGTTTTTGGATTCTTTAGCAGTTGTAACAGCCTGGTTTTGGTTTGGATGCCTGCGAATCTTATCATAAGGTATAAGGCCTTAGCCCGCACATTCCCATCACAGTCCAACAATCCCAGTGTCAGTGGAATAGCAAAAGGACGGCTCAGGAAGCCTAACCTCTCTAGTGCATCCCAGGCTAGCTCACGAATATGTGGATTGTAATGGGTTATATCTTCCAGGAGGCGACGGGCAGTCTCAGAGAGCAGCCTTGAAGATATTTGATTATTGGCAAAAATTCGTGCCAGGGCACTAAAATATTTCTTGTATTTCTCTACAGAACAGTAAATTGTGAGGGTGAGGATGGCCTCTATTATATTATCCATAAGCCCTTCAGTTAATTTTCTTCCCATCCAATTTTGTTTTGCCATATAGTCAAGAGCATCAAAAGAAGTTTTTTTCTGCCTCTTGGACTTATCCTTCTGTTTACGCATTGAGATTTCATCTTCTACTGAAGTTATAAGTGGCAGTGTTTGAGGTTTTAAGAGTTCAGTCATATCCCAGTCTTTATCTCTGGAGGGCGAGTATAGATAACAACGTAGGAAGATTGGGATACCCTCAGGCCAAAGACAGGCACGGATCACTGAGTTTGGGATGTAGCCATCAGGAGCAAAGGGCCATTTCTGTCCTTGACCAAAGAAGCATTGTAATATATGGTAGACATTGAAGCCATCCCAGCCAGTCAGGTGTAATTGAGCAGGAACCCTATGTGGGTAGTAATTACGCTTGGTGTCAGGAGTAGACAAATCGATACTCTCATCCTCGAAAAAATACAAATCGGGTCTCTCTTGAATCACAAGGGACATATGTCTCTCTTCCTCTACCACATGTGGTACAGTATTGTCAAAAGCAATGACCCGTTTGTTGACAAGGGTCTCTAGCCCCTGTAATTCCTGTAGCCCTTGTCTAAGGTAGACAAATTTAGGTACAAACACTATTTCAAATGAAAAGAAGAAGCTAGGTAGGAAAGGTTTAGGGACTTCTTGTATTTCACATGCATCAGATAGGTTATCTAGATGAATCAGCTGAGCAGGAGGGAGTAATTTTAAGCAGGATACCATGTAGATACTTTGATTGAAAGTCAAAAGTAGGTCACCCCGATTATTGGCAAAACAAACTGGGCCAAAATGCAATGCTGAATCCAGATCAGTTACAAGTCTGCCATGGAAATCCCAGATCCGGACTGAGCCATCAACAGCCCCCGTGACAAAAAGTTTCAGGGAAAAGCAGACATCAAATGAAGTGATAGTACATTCATGCAGGCATTTTGTACCTCTGAACTTAGTGCTTTGTTCTGATTCTGAGGATGTCAGAAAGTCTTGGTAGTTCCAGAGATACCAGCAGCAGTTTTCAGTGATGGCACCCACAGAATCTGGCAAGAGTATCACATGTTTTAAGGGACAACCACAGTAAATTCTGCCAGCAGACTGCAAGATTACCTTGTTCTCCTGAAGCACAGCCTCTGTCAGGTATACAATGTCATCCATGCCATAGGAACAGAGTAAGGAGTTTTTCTGGGGACCCTCCAGAGTAGACAGTGCCAGTACTGGACCAGAGTGAATGGTCTTCTCTATTTGGGCACAGCTATAGTGGGAAAGAATTCTCACAATGCCACTCTCATGCCCACAGAACATCAATCCTTCTAATCCCTTACCCAAATGGGACTTCACATAGGCCAGGCATCTTACGTTATCCCAAGAGTTTATCGTAGGGCACACAAGGTATTTAGCTGTGCAAGGAGAGCGTGTTGTGTCAAATACCAGCACCTCTGAACCGCCTGTTGCCACAAAGAGCTCTTCTTTGTCTGAGTCAAAGGCCCAAGCCACAGCCTTATCCATGACCAGCAGAGGCCAAGTGAGAACCAAGAGATCCCCCGTTACAGGAGACAGGAAGCGCAATAATCCATCTTCGGTGGCACACAGGATCCGAGTCCAATTATGGCCACAGCAGACCCTCTGCACCTGCTGAGGAGCAGAACCACAGATATTGAAGAGGCTATAAAAGTAGGGCAGGTGGTACAATGAGAAAGAATAGGTAGTCTGGCAGAAAAAAGTGGTGTTATCAATAAACTGCAGTTGCCGCAGGTTCTCATCAATATCCAGCTGCCGCAGCAAGCTCCCAGAAGTCAGAGTCCATTCCCTCACGACACCTTCAATGCCTGCTGTTAGTAAGGTGTAGGTCTCTGGCCGGCTATGGATACATATCACTGATGAGGAATGGGCCTGGAAGCTGTGAAGGAAGTTACCCTGGTCTAAACCCCAAGCATGGATTTCTCCAGCCCTGTTTCCAGCATAGAAATTGCCCTGAGAGACACAAGTAAAGGAGCAAGTGATGGTGGAGCCACTGGCTACAGAAGTAAATGTCTTTACTTCTTTCAGCTGACCCTGTCCCTGGTAGGTGAAAACCCTCACTATATTCTCACACAGAGCCAGCAAGGAGCCCTGGGGGCCATTTAGAGAAACCCTTTGTACAAACTCATGACCAGTCATGGGCACTGTGTGAGCCATCTGGAGGCCCCTCCTATTTGCTAAGATAAACCAGGTAACCACAGCCCCCAAGGTGCCAGACAGAAGCAGCTCAGATTCTGAGTCATAGCAGAGGCAGCTGATGGAGAAACGACAGGGCACTGTACCCAGAGATTTGAATGCTTGGTGGTGATCTTCAAAGAGCCTCAGGCACATGTCACCACAGTAAGCAACTAACATGTGATGGGAACCTGTGTGGACCATTGCTTCGACCGGTGGCACTGGATCCTTCATGAAAAACTTCATCTTCTGTATTATTCCTTTCACCTCCGTATCTTTTTTCTGTATCCAGAGTACTGCCTAGAAGAGGGTGGGAGATAAAAGCTTGACCATGAGGCAGATCATTTCCCAAAAGTGTGAGGTAGAGAAGGTCTGAATGGTTAGATCACTGCTACCTCGTGTGGGACTAAGGAAAGACTTAGACATCTTGACGTTGAGAGTCTCCTAGCACTTGGAGTTGGGTGACGGAAGCATTATGCTCAAAGTCCTTTTCTTGGCCTTCAATTTACTTTGTGGGGATAACGAATTCTGTGGGCCTGATACATAGAAGTGAAGAAGGATCACTTCACCCAGGTCAAACTTGGCCATGGAAACTCTAAAATGGGCAAATTCAGTTATTCTTGCTATTCTGAAATGAGGACAGTTTAGGTCGGTGCATATAAATTGGATTAAGGGGAAAAGGGGAAAGTAGCTTTACCTGCAATTTTTTCCCCCGTGGCTCCAGCCAGTCTAAGGAGACAAAGTAGTTGACATTGATGGAGTAGAAGCAGACAAAGGACTTGTTCTGAGTATGGTGAGACTCTCGGCATAGAGTTTCAGGCCAGTCACTCAGTACCACCACATCGTCCTTTGATTCTTCATCAATCTAAGAGAAAAGAGTGGCCTGAGTCCCCACTCATTCATTCATCAAATACATATTTATTGGGGGGGATCAGTGGACAGTTGTTTTGTAGTCAGTTAGCATTAATTCACTCTACTACTGGAAAGCATTGTTTGTGAAGTCGTCCCAAATCCTCAGTTCGCAATAGAATGCATCTGTATGATCCAAGTTTCTTCTAACCTTTCTCAACCAAGGTTCCATAAGAAAAGTAATCTCTAATGTCCTAAGGTATCCAGTCTACATATTGAATTAATTTGTTAGTCATCTGGAATAACTTTCCTTCCTTTTTTTTTTTTTTTTTTTGCCATAGGACACATGCACTCACTGGAGAAAAAAAGTGAGAGGGAAGGTAAGAAATCACCCCCCAGGAGGAATGGCTATGCCACAGTCCCTTCTCCTCCATTCTCTTCCTGGGATTTTCAGAATGTACACACACGTGCCTGGCATAATTTTTAAACTGCCAGGCCTGGGACTCCAACCGTGGTCAGCCATGTGGGAGTCCAGCACCTTAACCACTATGCCACCTGCTGGCCTTCTGGAATAACTTTACAAAGTCCTGCCCCCATCCATAGGATCACTCCTATTACAAGCACACATGCATGATATATTGCCTGTAGGAAACTTATACTTCACGCACATGTAATAGAATGCCCACTATGTGTGGGAGCTAGACTTTGTAGCATATACTTCACTATTCTTGTGCATATCCAAGGGAAGTTTGTGCTATTCACAACATAGAGTTAGCTATACTTCAGCTGTAATCTGTACTTTGTGTCTGCACGCACACACATGTGTATCTATCAAGAGAGATACATTCTGGGACCAGCAGATGGCATAATGGTTATGTCACTGGACCCGGCAGTTTAAAACTCACACAAGATGCGTTTACATGCATGCTCAAAACCCCAAGAGGAGAATGGAGGAGAAGGGATGGCAGTGTAGCCCTCCTTCCTGGGAATTGATTTCTCATTTTCTGTCTCTCTCTGTCTCTTTGGCAAGTGCACATGCCGTATAGCAAAAATCTGTGTTAAAAAAGAGAGAGAGAGAGATACATACATTTTAATATGTTACACAGTAAAACATACACAGTAAACACTACCTTCCAGTGATACAGCATATGTCTGTAATAAATGTGCATGAACCCATTTTATTCAGCTAAAATTGAGACTCACGAAGTTTCATTTTGAGAAGGGGGCCCCCTTCTCGTAAGATGTTTGTGCTATGCCTTCCTCCTGAACAATGCTCCATGAATCTCTCTTTGTATTGGAATTTGTGCTCTCACTACTTAAGATGGAAAATAAAACACTAAATTAAACTGAAGTGTTAATACTTCTTTACTTACAATGTTTATCAAACCTATTTCCTGTAAGCACAAAGGATTTGAAACTATATTGAGAGAAGTATCTACAACTCATAATCTCTCTTCTCCCTATAATTCCCATTTTTAGATATCAAAGAGATTTTAGATTCAGTAGCAGCAGCAGAGTTGAGAGAAAGTTGAGCTTCCAATTCCTCATCCTTCTTTTTTTTATTTTTTTAAGGTGTTTGCCAGAGGGTATGTGTGCTCACCGGACAGAGACAGATACAGAGAAAGAGAAAGTAAGAAATCATCTCCCAAGGGGATGGCCATGCTGCAACCCCTTCTCCTCCATTCTCCTCTCAGGATTTTGGGCATGTGTGCGCATGTGCCCGGCATGATTTTCAAGTCATTAGGTTTGGGAATCAAACTATGGTTGGCCATTTGAAATCCAGTGCCTTAATCACCACTCTGCCTGCTGGCCCCACCATCCCTCTTAATTGAATCAAGAAGCTTGTCTACATACCCTTTATTCCATTAGTTAATCATTATTCTTTTTCTTTTTTCTAGTCTTCATATACAAACAATTCACTCATTTGACAGTGCTTATTTTCTTGATTTACTAGAGGATACGTGCACTCATGAGAGAGAGAAACAGAGAGACAGAGACAGAGGAGAGAGAGAGAATGTTAGAAAGCACCCCCTCGTGGGAAATGGTAATTATAATCCTTTCTCGTCCATTTCTCTTCCTTTCAGGATTTTGGGCATGCACACAACACATGCCTGGTGTGTTTTTTAAGCTGCTGGGTCTGGGATTCAAACCACATAGTTGGCCATATGGGATCTAGATGCCTTAACCACCACACCACTGGCTGGTCCTTAGCAATGCTTTCCAAGACCAGCAGATGGCATAATGGCTACGTTGCTGGACTCCCATGTAGTCGAACATGGTTCGAGTCCTTGACCCAGCAGCTTAAAACTCACTCTCCATGCTTGTGTGTGCATGCGCAAAATTCTAAGAGGAGAATAGAGGAGAAGGGATTGTGCCATGGTCATCCCCCCGGGGGGGGAAGGAGGATAACTTCTCACTTTCTGTCTCTCTGTCTCTTGGGCAAGCACAAGCAACCTATAGCAAAAATCTCTCAAAACACACACACACACACCATGTGTTCCCATAGAGGACTCTAAAAGACTAATAAATTAAACTGAAGCAATGTATCTGTGCTCGATACTACTGCTGGCTACCCTATACTGATCATTCTCCCTCCTCTTCCTCCTCTTTCCGTCATAATAAAATTCTGATTCTCTTTCCTTTTTTTCATAGGTACATTCAGAATTTTTATTTCAAAACAAAGAACCACAGTCATATTAATAATAGAAAATTTATATGGAAATATTCACAACTCGGTCACTGAGAAATAAGAAAAATTCCACCCTGTATCACTGTCAACCTGCCTCATGAGGAGTAGGCAGTGGAGGTGCAGTCAGGGGAAAGTTGTCTTTTCCAGTCAAGCCCTGCTCCCCAGCCAGGGAAGTTTGCATCCCAAGACTCAAGGACCAGAGGGAATAGCAGGAACTGAGAACTGAAATATTATTATCAGCAAGGGTCTAAGAGTCTGAAATGTGTAAGCACCAAGGAGGGAGAGGGAAATCAACATATGAAAAAGAAGAGGGTGAGTGTCCCCAGGAGCCAATCTCCACTTATTAAAATACTGAGATAGTAGGAGACGACACCTGGGGGCGTCTGTGACCTGTGGCAGCGGCAAATCCCTCCATCTCCTAATCTGCAATGCTCCCGAATTGGAAACAACTCTTCTGTTAATTTCTTACTCCTAAAAGAACGCCCTGCTCTCCTCCACAGCTAGGACCCCCAAGAGGCCAAATGCCCTGATAGCTCACTGTCTCTCCTATTTCCATGGCCTGCATCTGGGGTGAGGCTGAGCCCTCCATCCTCAACCTCTAGATTTAGGAAGTCCTCCTCCAACTCTCTGACTGAGAACGGTAGCTAGATGAGTCACCTGGAGGCGAAGGTTCTGGATGTAAGTCCCACCCAGCTAGGCAGTGTTATTTATATACACCAGGATGAGTTTAATACATTCCATCCAATGAAGGCAACAATCACCAATAAGCGATATCCGCCCAGAGGAAAGTGACAGGACACATACATTCAGGCTCTCCTGAGAGACTACACTGCACACTTACTCATACTGCCTCTCATGTGGTCTATCACCAAGTTCCATGGCAATATGGCAACCAAGGGCAATGAGATACAGTAACCAGCCCAGACGAGCGTACCACAACATACTTAAACCAGATAATAACCGTTCAAGAAAAATCCTCTCCCAGAGCTGAGGTTACAATTCAGTTAGCTATGGCCATTTTCTCAGTCCCTTTAAAGCTGTGGGCTAAAACAAAACAAAAACTAGTATCTAAAATCTCGAAGAACAAAATGGAGGAATACTGAACTTCGTCCAATTATTTCAGGTTTCTCATTTGGATGGCTCTCTCACTGGATGGATGGTGGGATTACTTTTAGGATATGAGTCCACTATAAGGAGAAGGAATTGTTCAGTCCAATGAGAGGGGAGAGGCTGTCTAAAAATAACCTGCCTCTTCTGGACTCCCATCTAAAATTAGAACCCATCACATGCCATTTAGTACAATCCTAGATTTCAAGTAATGCTACATATAAACTATACTCTTAACAACATCTGGGACTAGCAGGTGGCATGGTAGTTAAGGTACTGGACATTTCCCCATGGCCGACCATGGTTTGAGTCCTGGATCTGGTTGGTGACTTACTTTCTCTCTCTCTCTCTCTCTCT